AGGAATTTGAGACTAGGGAGTGGCAGCACACTAAAGAGAGGTCTAGTCACCTAAATCCAGTCAAAAGAGAAAAATACTAAGGGCCCAAACGGGTGGCTTATTCGGGTGTGGCCTTATTTTGAAAACGCAATCTCAATATTTGAAAAAGTGTTGGCTCAGAGTTCTCGTGTCGCACTAATACGCAGCCATTATTTCATAATAAGGTTTCGACGCGGGGGCATACATCTCAATATTTGAAAAACTGTTGGCTCAGAGTTCTCTTGTCGCATTAATACCCAGTCATTATTTCATAATAAGGTTTCGACGCGGGGGCATAGCCGCATCCGGCGTCCGTGACTTGACTTTAGTACAATATTTCTTTCGGTGTCCTTCTCTGATCTCCCTCGCTCTCTCTCTCTCTCTCTCCCTCTCCTATTTTTCCCTATGGTGATATTCTCCTTGAATTACTATCTCCCTCTCCGATTTTTCCCTATGGTGATATTCTCCTTGAATTACTACAATTCTTTGCTTAGACTGAAGCTCCACACAGTTGGACAAAAGAATGTTGGGCTACTTTCTCTTTATTTTTTTGCATTATGTTCTTCATTGGATCTCTAACTTTATTTTTATTTTTTGGGTATACATCTATCTTTTTTTTTTTTTATGCTTTTGTGTGCATTATATACCGGATAGATGATCCTCAAATCCTTTTCTTTTGTACACCTCTTTTTGACATTATATAATACTGCCTACCGGCTTTTAAATGCTGTAACTGACATTTACAAGCACATACAAAGTGTAAGCTTTATTGTCAAATTGAACCTTTCTGTTTCATGCATTTATGTCTTATCTCATAGTGAAGTTTTGAATTTTGTGTATTGTACAGAATCCAGGAAGGAAATTTTTTATCAGGATTTCAGCTTTGGAGATATATAATGAGGTTGTGAGAGATCTGTTGAACCCAAATTCAGGTCCTCTAAGGCTTTTAGATGATCCTGAGGTGACTAACTTTAATCAACAAATTAAATGTTAACGCAGCTTTTTACACATCTTCATGTAATATTAGATGTATATTTGTATTGGGGCATTTATATATATACCACACAATTCTTATGTATTTACACAGCTAACCTCTAGACAGTCATATTTACATGCAGCACTCAACTCAATAATATCACATCCAAAATAGCAATATTAGCACTTTTTAAAAGTAAGATGCACTTTTTCATGCAAAGGTTTAAAATACCGAAGTGCTATACATGTAAATATCTGAAAGTTTATGTGAGATATGTAAATAGATAGGAATTGAGTGGTATGTAAGATAATAGTTAGAAAAAAAAAATGGAAAGTTTTAAATTATGTTTAAAGTAAATTGCTAAATTATAAGCAAAAAATAAATGGGCAGGGATACTCTGATTTAATTTTTTGCTTAGTATTTAAGACAGTGTTTCATCTTGAACTGAAAGTTTATGTGAGATATGTGAATAGATAGGAATTGAGTGGTATGTAAGATAATATTTAGAAATTAAAAAAAATGGAAAGTTTTAAAGTATATTTAAAGTAAATTGCTAAATTATAACAAAAAATAAATGGGCAGGGATACTCTGATTTAAATTTTTGCTTAGTATTTAAGACAGTGTTTCATCTTGAAATGTAAAATATTTTCATGGAATTATATAACATTCCATGATTTCTATCATAAAATTCAATGATCAAAGATTATTTTGATATATATATATATATATTAGAAAAAAAGAAAAGAAAAGAAGAAGCCTTTAGTTTAGAGGTGGGTCTAGTTAGTGTAGGGATGTCAATTTGGCTCATTGTTCGTGAACAACTCGTGTTCGGCTCGTTAACGAACGAGCCGAACATGAACAAATTTTTAAGCTCGAAATGTAAACGAGCCGAACACGAAAAACCGTTTG